TCCGGCATGATCAGTTTACAAATTAAGCCCTGGTGGTGGCCATCTTGGATATTGATGTGGCAACCCTTTTTATGATATTGACTATTCTTACACAAACATGCAGCCGCACACATAAAAATGAAAGTTGGCACATTGCTTATTTTTGATTATCCAGGTGACAAGGAGGACAGAGGGTATTTCCAAGTGCCCCCTCCTCTTCGCAACAGAAAACTAAAAAGACTGTTCTGACTACTCTTGAGCCAAAAATCTGAAGAAGATAAAAATCCACACTGGTATTATTTTCTCCAGCGTTTCTTCTGGACTTGGTGTAGCTCCGAAAAGCTAAGCCCGCCTGAACAAATCTGGTTCATATTCAGTTTCTCCAAAGTTTCCTTGGATCCACTAAAGTTCAAGGACAATCAGCATCACATCAGCTTGCTCTTAACTACCTGCCACAATCAATTAAAAGTATAAACTGTATTTATGGTGTTATGGCAGTCATTCTGAGTGACAATGCACTTTTGCATCATCAGACATGTCAAACGTGTTTACGAACAATTTCGCCTGGTTAAACTGTCAAACTCACTTCGGCTGTTGCTCAGTCAGTGTCAGCCACATCAGGACATTTTCCCTCTCCAACATCTGTCTGAGAAACACATGACCCAGCTCCACATCATATACTAGGCAACATCATAATCCAGATGTTTCACTTTTCATGTTACCATTAAGAACGCAGTCTATAAAAGTTTGAAAGTACTGGTTGTTTTTGAATAAAAGATCTTGAGCATCATTCATATATTCCAGCATTAAAATAGCTGCAGCATTTATGTAAAACTTGTTTGGACACTTCTGCTGGTTCCCAAAAAGGAGTTAGGAACTGACGCCTCTCTCTTCTCACTTTGGCAGGCTTTTAATCGCTGTACCCTTTAATAACACCAGAAAGTCCTGACACCCAAATCAATGCAGTATTTCAACTTTTTCTCAGTAAGAACAAAAAAAAAAAGAAGTCCATTCAGTGGATGAGTTGACTGACTGAAATGTGCAGCTGTATAATTATCAGACATCTTGCTGTTGCAAACACAGGCAGCAATTATTTTTAACAATAGGAGCTATATTTGAATTCTGCACTGCAGGAGGGTTCTTTTTTCTTTTATTCAAAAAAAAAGTAAGAAGTGCACATTTCACCACCAGGCACTCTCAGCTGATGTGGCTCAATGGCAAAAGTCAATAAAAGGACAACAAAATGTTTCGCACCACATGAATTGATGCATCATTGCAGAAAAAAGTACAATTTTTAACAATGGCTCAGTTTTATTAGATATGCAGGCCCTAACAGTGAGGAAGAGAACCCATTATACTGCAGAATTTTTTATGTTACAATACCCAGTTTGTCAACCACCCCCCTCGCTGACAGATTTGAATAGTGTAGTTTGTAGTTTTCAAGATGAGTGTTTTTCTGGACTGGAATTGAACAGTGGTGAAAGATATTCAAGTGGGTAGGAGTTGGGTCCTGGCGCATAGAAGGAGCAATTTTATCCACTGTCAGGTGCAATGGTGGTGCCAAGGGGTGGCCAGTGGTGGCTTTGGCCACCATAGATTAATCTTGGCCACCACAATTATTTGAAAATTACACTTTGAAGCAATACACAAACTATAAAGCATAGTTTCATAGGGTTTTATATGGTGGTGGTGGCCATCTTGCATTTTGACATTGCAACCCATTTTTCCAAAGGGAACGTTCTTACGCCTAGATGTTTCCACACACCAAAACGGAAGGCAGTACCTCACTTATTTTCCAAGTTATCATGCTCACAACATGGATGGATGGACGGACAGTATTTCCAATTCTTCCGCTTTGCTCCATGACAGGGGACAAAAATGGGTGCGCAACATGTCAGTCTGTTGCACTGGTGACTCAAAATTGTGAAACAAGTTGTGAATTGTCAGCTGTAGTCTCATGAATACTGAACGCCATATAAAACTGTATTGTAGGTCATGCACAATATTTCATTGCCCACCTTCACCCACATTAACCCCGCCTTGGCGCACTTTGCCCCACCTCAGTGGCTACCCCCATGTTTATGATTTAACCTACTGGAGTACGATTTAAAAATAAATGTAGACACACTTGGCTATTTATGTTTTAATCATTCTCATTTAAAATCTGTGTAGTTTGTAGACCTGCACACTTGAAGCTGTAGAATCAGATGTCAAAGTTCATGCTCAATAATCCAGGTAAAGAAAACAGATTGCATGTGACTTCTCAGATTGATGAAGCCCTTCGGATGGAGGGCAAAACGTCTCTCAACAAAAAAAAGTAACTGTCCAGATGACCTGACTGAACATTGTTGGGCAGAAACTGATGCTTTCTGGTATAAGGAGATCTTTGAGCAGGTGGAAAAAATACAACTCCTGCACTTTCAAATTTATGGAACCTAATCTGAGAAGTTTGAGACGCCCGCAACAACTCTGCAACAATTTTGAGAAATAAATTTGTGGGATAAATTCTTTGAACGTGTTCAAAATTCAAGAGAGAAACTTGAGAACTCCACAAATGTTCTGAGACATTTTGGAGACTCCCTCGTGAATCGCCAATTGCAAACGCTCCAACCGTCAGCTCAGTAAAATGTGGATTTTACTGCCTTTGATGACATCACCTGTGTAGATAACAGTAGTCAGGACGCTGAAGCACGTGGAGATTGTTGTATCTTGATGATAGAAAAGAAAGAGGGGAGTGAAAAATGTTTATTGTGTGAATGTTTATGAAGCATTTAGTGATCCATTTTTCTTCCGTACATTTTTCAGCATCTTTCTCGTTCCACAAAATTATATATCGAAAAAATTCAGCTCTTTCAGGACAATCCTGTTATGACTTTTGGTATTGGTGCAACTTTAGCTTTTTGAAAAATTTAGCCTTTTCTGCCATTTTTTTCTCATAAAAAATGAATTGAGCTCATTTTACATCTTTCAAAACTTTAGATCTGTTTACAACTTTTTACCGCTCCTTTCACATTTTGTTCTGCTTCAGCTTCTTTCAGCTTCCTTGTGCAAATTTAAACATTTTTTCAGCTATTTTCAGTTAATTTCAGCTGGTTTTTTTCAGCTGTTTTGTGATCATTTTAGATTATTTCTGCTAACTACAACATTTTTGTGCTTCTTCAAACTTCTTTTTGCTAATTTCAGCTTGTTATGCTCCTTGCAGCTTATGTCTGCACGTTTCAGTTATTTCAGCTACTATTTAGCTATTTTATTTTCAGCTAATTCCACATTTTTTGCACTCATTTAAAAAAATTTCAGCTTAATTCAGCAAAAAATGTACTCTCTCCACTTCCTTCTTGTAATTTCAGCTTCTTTCTCATTTTTGAGCTACTTTCAGCTGTTTTTGCTAATTTCTGCTTCTTTCAGTCTACTAGGGCACATCTGATCTTTCTGCTTTCTTCTGCTAATTTAAGCTTGTTCTAACTTTCAGCTAGATTTTAGAATGTGAAAGTGAATTTTTGCTGTTTTCAGATAAATTCAAGTTTTTAATGATAATTTCTGCTACTTTCAGCCTATTTGATATTTTATGCTAATTTCAGCATGCTGTGCTCCTGTCAACTTTTTTCTGCTGTTTTAGCTTTTTGTGCAATTTCAGCTACTACTGGTATTTAGGTTTTTTTTAATGCTAAATTTAGCTTTTTAGGTCAATTCCACTTTTTTTTTTTTTTTTGCTCATTTAAGCTCTTTCCACTTCCTTCTGGTAGTTTAAGCTTCTTTCTGCCTTTTCAGCTAGTTTTTGCAAATTTCAGCTGTTTTTCAGCAAGTTCTTCTGCAATAAGCATTCACACTGCATTTTTGCAGGAAATGGAATTTCTCTGCCACTGATATTGCCAAATTGGTTAGCCCCCCAGTTATTAATTTCATCTGGGCTTTTTTGTTACAACAAACCAAAATGTTTGCTGTAAAAAAGGGCAGGCTGGTTACTTTAGCTATTTTTTTTAACAAAATGTCACCAAGCCTCCATGTTCAATTAAATGCACTTTCATAAAACACCTGATACCGGGAATTTGATGTCTTCTCGTGTGATTTCTGGATGGACGAAGGCAGAAAACGAGGGGCAATGCTAACCCACTCCTGGCGCTCCTTTGTGTCATGAAGTGAAGTAGCAAAAGAGTCACGTTGTTCGATATGAGAAAACGTAAGCCGGGTTTGCAGCTCAATAATTTGATGAAGTGACGTACACTTCCTGCGATCACCCATTTAAAACAACAGTACAGATTCATTTAGGAGAAAAATTCTCAGCTATTTTATTTTATTTAACTAGCAGTATATTCTTAACAATGACAAAATGGGTTGATGACAAAACTTGTGAGCTTCTTGCTCTTTGTACTGAACATGTACAAAAAGTTTCAACAATGTTATGTCAAAGGCATCCATCACACATTTATTTCATAGTGCAGCACTTAAAAAACCCGAGTTCTGCTCCACGCTTTTTTTACTTCCGCACTGCTCGTTTCATTTCTGAAAGCTCTCGTCAGGCCGACTCAATTGGTGATTTTTGACCGATCAAACGTAGCTAAAGACAGATTGTTCTTTGCGGCCATTTTGCAGACTTGTTTTATAAAATAGCCTTAAGAGAAATAAATAAGAACTTTAGTTTCTTCTGGTTTTTTTACAGGTGCATAAATTAAAAGCGCTCAGTCTTATGTAAACTCATCAGTGTGGGAGTAATATGGGTGTTGGAAGATTTTTTTTCCAATAAAAAAAGCCAGAAACGTTTATATTTTCACACCAATAATGGTGCCTCAATAACACTGTGATGAACTACAGATGCCAAAAGATGAACTGTTTTCTGTGTAATCCCACCACACACACACACGCACAGATGTGTGGTTCAAAACAGCTGTGCAAAATTTAAACAGACATTTGCATAAGCAATCTGCAAAAACAAGTGAGAACAAATGTAGAAAGAAATCATTATGCAAATTTAGAGAGCAAACTCGAAAACAGAACAAGGCAGCAAGAAATAAACATGATCATACCACTGTCTGATGATTGACCTGAATGACTTCATCTCCAGCGTGGATTTTCTTACAGCGATCAGCCAGGGACTGATGGACAAACAGAGATTATTGTTACTATTTAAAGCTTCACGGTGTGCCACAGTATTTATTTAATCTAAAGTATATCATTAAGAGCTGCTTGTGTATTTGGATAATAAACACGTATTGTTTTGAAATACATTAGGTTTCCTTATCCCAATAAAAAAAAATAACATGTATAAACTTATACATTTGTCTTCTGCTCGGTCAAATCTGGTAAACAGTGAGTAAATAACAGCTCAGGATTAATTAATTAGCTGGTGAAGCTAATGTTTATTTATTCTCAACACTAGGTTTACCACATTTGTAACAACAGAAATGAATCACAACAAATCCCTACATCCATTTTAGTCATAGCTGCGCTAATCAGCCTCCAGCTACGCCGTGTTTCCAAAACAAACACTGACAGACTCAAGAGAGGGTGCTTCAGAGAGGAACGGGTTAAGAGGGATACTTCAATCTGCAAATTAAGCCACGTGTGAACAAGCAGCGATGATGTGAACAAAAATGAAAACAAAGAGGCTTTTACTTACTCCTTCGGTGGTCCCGGTGATTACATGCAAACCATCATACGTTGATTTGATGTACATGCCCTGAGGGGATATTACAATCACATCAGCCTAAAATACTGCAAAGCAGCACAGCCAATAACTATTTGCACAACAGATCTGGGTCAGTTTGTGTCCGCAAATCTGCATTAATCTGCTTGAAGTGCAGCATGTGAAAACTTTGGATTTATCAGTAATAAAGGAGCAAGTTTGCATCACTAATTGGTAAATGACTACACAAGTGTTAAAACATCTGCATGCTTTCCAAATGCACCTACTATGATCATCATTTTCTGTACATCATAAAGATGGTCTCACTCAGTGCTCCAAGCAGATTAAATCCAACATGGAGGATTGCCAACTTGCTAAACTGTCACAAAATGTTAAAACTCCAACTTTCACTAAAAAGCTTTTAAAGTGCTTAAAGTGACAAAGAAGCAGCATGCCATCTTCAAGATGAGGGGAAGAGATTTATTTTTTTAGGGCACTTGGCTCAGAGTTGTGCTCAGGGTTCACTGGATGAATGTCCAATCCAGGCATTTGTGTGTGGGGGAGGGCTTTTTATTGTGGCCCCAAGCAGGAAGCTTGTGTCTGAGTGTAGGTCAGTGCAACGATGGAGTTCAGAAAAGTGCTCGTGGATACACAGTAGAAGAAGCAATTCTTCAGTGACATTTAAGAATTATCTGCAAAAGATGATTGCCAGTTGTTGCTATGCAGTTTACACACTGCAGATGTTTTATTTTACTCTGGCCAGGATCTTTTTTTCATTCACTTTGTGTGAACAGAAACCAGTTTTGGGACAGCTACGTTATATTCTGGAAAATGAATCAGAATCAGAATCAAATTTAATGTCATTGCATCGAAGCACAACAAAATTACATTTCAGTACAGCCTGTCCAAAGAAATACAAAGAACATAGACATGGGAGACGGAGTGCCTGAGGCTGCAGCCTCGAGAGGCGCTGCCTTTTTTTTGTTAGATAAGGAAAAGGAGACATAAAGAAAAAGGAGGTACAAAAAATCCAACATATTTCTCAGAAGTTGCAAACAACCTCAGCACAAAAAAAGCAACAAACAAATGACATAAGAAGATTTATGCATGTGGAGTGGGTGAGGGTGATGTGGGAGGGGGATCCCAGCAAAGGCCACCCAAGAGAGCATAGCAGCCACTGGTGCCTTGTATCCAACCTAGGTTACTGCACGGGGGGGGGGGGGGGG